CAGTACGTTTCCTAACCAGCGAAGCCGACTAATCTGAATTCGATGGGGCAACGAATTCTCCATCGAATCATTACCAAACACGCGACGCCATACCTCAGAGTTGCTTACACGCTCGCTCCATCCAACCCGCGCCAAACTACGTAAACATCGGAAGTTGAACACTTCTAGACAACGAATATCTTCTGCGCTTAAATTTAGGGTCTTGCCGAACTGACCTCACACTCTCGCAGTATACTCGACCTTTCAGTTTCAACGAAACATCGACTCTGCACCAAGGGTGTTTAGGTCCTGTGTAAGCTGCTAAGGAAATAGAACATGCGGCAAGTCCAAAACGGGTGATTGCAGTCTTATGATGAATTTGGTCTCATTGGGAAGGCCGGGTGCCAGCTTTTGATCAGTAGCGCGTGCGCAAGTGAATAACAGATTACTACCAATCGATTGTTCTGATGGTTATTCAATGAATTACAGTTAGAGTTTATAGAATCACCTGTACGGCATCTGTGGGGTTAACAAGGAAAAGCAAACTCACTAGAATCATGGCTGAGAGATCAGCTGGACTACCTGGCTTGATCTCTTCCACAATAAGTCGACCGCCGGCATCTTGGATTTCCTCCGGTCGCGCCTCCCGAACGAAAAGACCAAAACTGGCATCCACGTTACTCGGACCTAGTAATGGTTCACTGAAACCAAGCTCAGGAGGTTTGTCTGGCGCACCAGTCACGGAGAGTTGGGATGTATGTGGTGAGGGACGTTGAAGGACCACGGTGAACACGTTCAGACGATAGTACGGTAAAGCTGATAAGATAAAGACAACGATGAGGATGCCCAAGCAGGCATTACGGAAGAGATCACACTTGACAAAACAGCACAAACAACGACGAAAACAACAGTGAACACATGCATTGTACCATGCGTGTCAGATAGAAACAAAGTTGGAACACGTTTATGCACACACGTAAAAACTAAGAGTACATTTGTGTGGGCAAACCGGTGAACACAATGCACAGTAGTTGTTTAACGTGCTAAGAGTAACAGTGAGTTTCATTTCGAAACCACTGGTGTGCACATTCAAAGATAAGACAACCGCGACCAGAAATAGAAGACAATGTTCAGTGGTGACTTTTCTGGAATGTGCTTCAACCATGCAGCAGCATACAGCGATAAACGAGTATTTTGACACCGCTTTGCACGATTGTACGATCCAACCACGAATAGCGGCTGATACAGAGATCAGACAACTGTGTGCACTGAATCCAGTTGATCGAATTGCTTTCCGACTTGCGTCAGGCATTCAAGCAAACATGAGACGTAGAAACAAGCATTTCACTCATGTGGATTTCAACTCAGAGTAGCAACTCAATGCGAGCATCTATTCCCCCGTCGATAAATGAATGGCTCCTTATAAGTGACAGAGAAAATCGACTTACAGGCACTTATTTGGTGAAGTTTTGAGCAAACGTTCAATGATGTTCTGGAACCGTCGACCTCAATGAAAGAAGTTCATAACTTTCTATTTTCTTGCCAATTTTTGAACTATTTTTATCGCTAGCTTTCCGAATTGAAATTGCACACTGTCCAAATCTATTGGAATATGCATGCGACATGCTCTGCCACATGAAATAACATTGCTATGCTAGTCGAGCAGTGGCTAATGAACATAATACAATACCCAGCATTCATACATCGGTTGCCGTTTATTCGTATATCGATAATAATCAAATTCGCCGTGAATACGATTGTTCCTCCAATCTGTTTGCAAACGCACGACGGTCTACCTCAATGACGTTCACCGGCTCCCTCAATTCTACCTACATCAAAGGAAGTAAACACCGAGGATTGGAAGGCTCCAGTCGACAGACGTTTCCTTCCACAGGTAAATTTGAGAATTCCGAATGACGACCTGGGCACAAACGAGGGATCCCCTCGACCTCAGCTGCTCCATTAGATACTCACAGAATTAGTCCACCGAATGCTAAATGTGTTACACGACGCGCGAATCTCCGTGACAGAGCAACTCATCAACAATCCAGGGGAATGACTGCGATAATTGGCGAGCACAAGCCCCCCCCCTCCCAAGATCTGATAACCGTAAAGCAGAACTGGTCGCACAATGGTCGAATGAATACACGCACAGCACAGACACATATTCGTTTGTACGTGGATGTGAACAACCCTGGGGTCGGGAAGCGCTTTCACGTGGACGGAACCGTGTCACAGGGCCAATGCCAACTAACCGGGACCGAAATGTGCGAAAAGGAACAAAACGAATGCAGTGAATTTATTTCAGACTATAGATTTGGATCAAGATGCAAGAGAGAACAGAACGACTCCCGTCCCTGCATACAAGCGGGCAAACTGCGAGAGATTGAAGAAAGAAACAACTGGCAAGATAGTTGAACGCATAAAACCACCTATTATGGGGTTGAGTGGAAGTGTGTGTGAGTGTGTGTTTGTGATAAAACATATGAAACACACATACAAACACGCACATACGAAATACAACAAAGTTCGAATCTAGACTATCTGGTTTGACAGTGCACCTGTTTGTTTCCGGTGGTGATAGAAACACCAGTATAATCACGAAAGTGATAGAGGTAGAAGGCAGGCAAACGGATTGGATCTATAGAGCAAGTTTAAGTCAACTTTTTCCCCCACCCCACTTCCAAACCCGCCCGTCGTGTGTATGTACAAGGGAACAGAGAGAGAGAGAGAAAGATAAACGACGGGGCAAATGAACAGAAAGAGTTTCTAAGCGAAAATATGACTAGTTTGACTATATACAATCAGAACAAAAACAAAACGGTTCGAGCCGGAAGAACAGATACAGACAAAAAACGTGGGAGGGAGGGGGTTCTGCGTGGCGGTGTGAGCTGGAGACAAGTTGACAGTCTGTTTCGTGGATTGTATCGGTTTGTAGGTGAATTGGCCTAAGGCTAATTGATCTAAACCATGAGGACAGATGAAATCAATGCAACTGCGAACGAGTGACAAGTATTCATGCATGCACACACGCACCACATGCCGGTTAAAGAGGAACAAAATAGTCGAACAGGGCCAGGATTTTGCGGTTATTGATGTGACGGTACATGTGGAAATACAACATCGAAAATTGTACCCCCACCCCCAAAACGTGCGTGATTTACAACGAAACGAGATAAAAATGCACAGGCACACACACGTGCATTGATGTGGGGAAACCGGAAAGTAAAAGGAAAGAGAGAGATTAGAGTTGTACGAACGATATGAACTTTCACTTACAGAGTTTAACAACTCAGGGAAATAGAAAAAGTAACATCCCAAAGTAAACACCCAGTTGATATCTAATGATTATTGCACAATATGAGATGGCTGCGTGACAAGACGGCTGCGAAGATGCATGGACCGAGTCGAACCAGTGTGAGAAAAAGCTTCGCAAAAACCGATTCGCGCGTGAAACCTCAGAACATATTGCGACATGCCGCCATCAAGACGAGACTGCATCATGACGTACTATGATGGTTCGTGCATCTCTCTGACTCAACGAGTAACACAAGATGACTTTTGTCAAGTCAGAAGATCTTATCATGGCTGGAAGGTCAATAGGTGGATGTCAGACGAAGTTCAGTCTCCTGGTTCTCCAGGTTGGGGGTTCGACTGGAATTTACGTTTCAGTCGGTAAAAAATGGTGGAGGAACAATCGATCCAAATAAGTGGGCCTCCAAGTCGCTTCACCCGCTACCTTGCGGTTAGGTTCTTGTTAGAACTAAAGAGTTTGGACGAGAACCCTAATTGTTTTCCTGCCTAGTGGCTGGACACCCTAGCAGTACCCGTCCATCGAACTCCAATGCATACGCACTGCGAGGTTGGCAGCGATCAGTGAAGTTCGCTTCCCAGTATTTCGCTGTATGATGATAATGATGATGAATCAATCCGGAACCGAGATCTGGGTCTTATATTTCTTACTTTCTATTCCACAGCATAGTTCCAATATGTTTGAGTTACGCGGTACTGAGAAAGTTATTCAATGCTTGGTAACCGATTTGATGCCGGGTATCGTGGTAACACAAACATTGAATATTATATCATACATTATTCAGCTACTTATGAGTAGCTGCGAAACCAAGGTCAAAGTACGGCCACTAAGATGGGCAAAACAAAATTGCGCGATAGCTATCGTTTGAATGGCATTACCACGACAGACGAAGAATCCTTGAGTTCAAAACATATTTTTCTGTTCTCTTTGGTTTAAAATATTGCATTATTCTGAGAGAGCAAAATACGGACTAAAGAAAAGCGTGAAATGTAAATGCGCGCTTGGAAAACTAAGCACATCTGGTCACCATGGGTTCACATTCACCCTCGGTGAATCAATACCGAAGTTCTGTCCCGATAGTCAGTTTGGCTATAGTGTGAGCACAACAGACGTCAGTGTAGTTTGCTATGCCAAAACCAGATGCTCAATAAATGGGGTTCAAAATAGCCTGTTGTTACGCCTCATAGTTTGTTTCAAACACCTAAGGGGTTACTAATCAATGAGCACGGATATATATCGCATGTTGTTTGGCAGATTGAAGTTTTTATGTTGAGATCGTGAAACGTTCAGTAGCCTCGGTGGGATTCGAATCCACGCACGGACGCCGAGTACGCTTTTGTACAGCGCACGCTCTACCAGCTGAGCTGCGAGGCCACACGTGACATGCGCTGCACAAAAAGGGTAGGCAGCGTCCATGCACGTGTCCAAATCCCACCGAGGCTACTGAACTTTTCATAATCTCAACATATATCGAGTGATCAGTGGCGGTACTGACCTGTAAGACTAAAATGTGGCTGAGCTGTGGAACAACTTGTGGGGAGCTCNAGAAGTCGATATGAATGAATCTATTTGTGCAATATGCGAGAATCATTCCCGCCTGCCATAAGTGATAATTGCTGAATGACCTCGGCGAATGCTAATTCTCTCAAACAGAAACCGTTGCACGATTCGCAGGACCGTCGGCAATAGAGAGGAGATACACAAAACGTATGGGTTACATACCTGGAGGATAGGGTGGTCGACGTGAAGCCGGAGTACGTTCCACCTTGATCTCTACCTGACCGACAGATTCCTACGGGGGACAAAAGCGGGTAGTGGGATGATTGAACTTCGAATCCAACGGGCAATTAGTGTGATCAGATAATAAATGACTGAAAAGTATTTGAATGGTGAATTGATGACGTAAAAACAACTCGAATTTACCAAATGAATGGATGACCGCAATAAAAAAGCCCCTATCTTTCTGAGTATGGGTGAGGTCTCATTGTCGCCCCCAAGAAATTCCTTTCGTAGAATGAGCCTCCATTTTGACTTTCCAATGGCGATGATGCTTCCACTAAAGTGAATGAATGAAAAGCTAACACCCGGGATTACTGTAATTTTATTGAGTCACAGGGAGTTGGTGCATTTGGAGGAGCTGGAAAGCACCAAAACGAAACCTTCCATAATTCTGGCTTCAAGACGTCTTCGTGGTGATGGCCACCAGGTCGATCTCTTGTAATGCTTCCACTGGACATTTGTACCACGATTAATGTATGCACGATCTAAATGACTGGACTGCTGTACCCAAACCCAGCTATTTTGTAGGTCGGGCCTTGGGTAGCTAAAGCTACTGTTTGTAGATAGATAAGTATAGGCGGATTCTCAATATTCCGGTTTCCAGCATATCATGTACCGAACTTGTTAAATATTTTTACACATCAATTTTTTCGACACAATCTGGAAATTGGAATTTGTGGTATATTTTATAGATATTACCGGCTTCGGAACAAGAATGATGCCAACGTGACAGTAAAGATAACACAAGAGGAAGATTTGGCTATAAATGAGAAGAAATTAGCGAAATGAATAATCGAGAACAACGATTCCTTTGTTGTCTACTTTTCTGAACACATTGTCTTTCTATAGGACCGGGAATTTCTGCGAACAGACCGTAGAGTATTCGCATCATTGACTTCTATACAGACCCATACCTCACAGCGTCTCTAATTATTGTCAGTCCTTGAACCCTATATGGAATGCAGGAATCTCGAAACCAGTGCTGAGAGTAGCTAGCTTTTTAATACTCCGACACCGAATCGCACCTTTCAACTTTTTCTCGGACGCCTAAAGATAACATGGAGAGGTAGATGAGAATGGGCAGGCATAGGTGAAAAATGAATCAGTTCTCCGTGGCGGTATACAGCGATTTAGACTTCTAGCAACCGAAACACGATACCGAACCTCATCATTGACTACCGAGTGTTTCCACCAGATATGAGACATGTTTCGAAGACACCAGTGGTCGAATACGGAAAGTCGATTAACATCCTCAGCGCGGAGATGCCAAGTCTGAAGCATAAACCCAAACACTAAGAAGCGCGGCGATGTACACAATTGCTATGGAAATAATTTTAATGTCAAGGCGGTATCACACACGTCACCGATCAGCAAGCGCTACTTTATCATGATGTAATCTTTGCCCCAACACTACACCTAGCTGCGATCGAACTGGCCGGGTACGCGAAGCTCTCGACTATCTCTAGCTGATCAGCACAATGGATGGGTGCTAGCACAGGTTCCTGCCGGTCTTGAACAAGCACCTTGTACTTAGACATCAGTAAATATATATCTACAAACGGATAGCCATAACACATTGGGAAAAATCCCAGGTAAATCGTTTTCAAAAGTGAAACTCGAAAACTAGACAATCAGAGTGAGTGCTGCGTTTCGCGGAAACTAAGATCATCATTCGACAAGGGTG